TTTTTTTTTTTTTTTTTTTTTTTACAAAAATTAAAATAAACCAACAGTATAAACAACACATTATTAAAAATACGACTAAAATTATATTTTATTAATTAATTATTTTCTAGATCAATGTTATTATAAAAAATTCCACACATCATGCCAGGACTATATGGTACTCGAGTGTGCTTGACCAGCTATTACCATGCAAGAGCGTATATATATAATCTAAGCTTTTCTTATTTGAACGATATCTCGAATTTAAAAAAAGTATTATTTTATTAATTTTTTAGTTTTTATTTATATTCATCGATCTTCTTAACGTAAATTTTGAAATTCTTTTTGTCTCGAGAATTGTTCTTTCCTATTTTAAAATTTTTTAGTTTTTATTTTTTTTAAAATTTATTTAATAAAACTATTATCAGCTATTTACTAGGTTTTATGTTTTATTAAAACATGTAACAATTCTAAATTTTTTAATAAATATTGTTTTTCAAAATTTACATAAAATTGGATGCATAACCAATCATACATTTCGAATTTCGAAAACGTAACCTTTTATTTTTTATTTGTTCAAAACTAACGGTAAAAATATCTTTAAATTTTTTTAAAAAGTTTAAAAATATTATTGAGAAGGGTTAAATTTGGAATTAAAAAAAATAATAATAAATTTAGAGTTCATTAGTAACGGGAAAGTAGTACAGGTTTAAAATCACTAAAATTAGGATGTTTTTTAGGGTCGTTTACTAAAAGCCTCTTTTAAGGGGTTGAGATTTGGTATATACATTCCATCTTGATTCTCAATACTCATCTGGCGGCTGCCGGCGGGCGGCGGGCGGCGGGCGGCGGGAGGTGCTGTAAGTTCAATCTCTCAAAAGTTCTTATTTTTCCACCAAATTATGAGTTTTTGTTCTTATTTGTTTCTTTATGCAGTGATGATTCTTCCTGATTTCTCCGATGATGTCCCCTCCGATGGGTTTGATGTTCATGGCGGCGGCGCTGATTATATTGTTCAACCCACTGCGCCTAATCAACCATCAAAGGACAACCCTTCCTTTGTCTCGCCGGATGTAAACCCGGTCGGCGTTCCCCATTCCTCCGGCGATGTCGATGGACGAGTCACAATCTTGCCTGTAATCGATGATCGGACTGGAAGAAAGACTTCTTTGAAGGCTAAATCTTCCAAGAAGAAGAATGGTTATTATCATCGTCGGAATGGAGAGAAGAAGGAACGTCTCATATGGACGCCAGAGCTTCATCAATGTTTTCTTGAATATTATAACAAATTTCCAAACGAGAGTAAGTTCTTAAATTTATCCTAAACCCTAAAGACAAATTATTAACCCTAAACTCTAAACTCTAATTGCAGAGCGAGTTCCGAAGAAGATTTTGGAGGAGATGAGACGGAAATTTCCATACGTTACGCGAGAAAACGTTGCAAGCCATCTTCAAGTAAAAAAATTTTTATTTTATTTTCGTTCTTGTGAATTGTTTGATCTAATACAACTTTTCAGTGTAGAAACATCGATTATATCTTAAACACTCGAAGAACAAAGAACAGGGAAAGTTATCAAAACCCTCCACCAAATCAGTACCTCGCAAACAGATCAATGAAGAATTCAATATCCATCAAATTCTCAATAACACAGTCATTTCCACTTGCCCTAATGCTGTTCTTCCTCACCAAAGCCATTCAATTTCCATAAACCCTAATACACAGCCACCTCTCCAAACCCATACTCTCCAAGAACCAATGCAAAATCAAGTCTTTTCTCAATTTGATGATACCCATCTTATAGAACAAGACATAGTGTTGATCCCATCTTCGTTCGACCCGTGGAACGATCTTCCCTATTCGAATACGATGAATGTCTTTGACCCTTTTGGAGGGCAATCATCAAATGCAGCTTCATGTTTCCCTGTTATGGTTGACAATTTTGCTCCTCCAATGCTATCTAATCATCAATTAGTGATATCTAACATTGATTGCAATGGTTATGGTAATGACAATGGTAATAGCTTTCATCCTATGATGGGTAACACTTTTGGAGGTTTGAGTATCAATAATTACTCCAATGGTGCCCTCCAAACATTTTTGATTATAACATGAATTCCCAATTGGATAATGTTCAATTTCATGATATCAACAATATCTATGCTCTTGGAACCTATCCTAATCCTTTGCAATTTGATTATTCTCTGAATTTCAATTTCCAAAACGAGTTGTAGGTTGGTATATTTAAGATTGTTCATATATGATATGATTTGATTCGGACGAATCGTTTGTTGTATTGAGCAGGTGCAAGATTTTGATCAAGGTGTTCAATCCATGTTATACCCACCAGCTACTCATCTAGTAGACTACTATGCTTCTACATTGCCACAAATTTATGGTAGCCGCCATCTTTACTAAATCTCTCTACTTTTTTTAGTTCGAAAAACGATGCATCAATTTCTCGATTATGATTCTTATATGAATGAAAGAATAGACGAAGAATACGAGCGATGGATGGAAGAATGGATGGGGACGACGACGACGGAGGAATCGGTTGGTCTTAGGTTTTAGCTTTGTATATGTAGCTGCAGCAGATTCAGTGGCATGGTCCTGTCTTTGAGCTATGTTCAAAGGATTTTGTTTTGTCAGACATTCACTTAGGAATGTTTAGGATTTAGGGTTTAGATGTGCCACTTATAGTTATTTCTTTAGTTATTGATTTTAATAAAATTCAATTTTATTTGAATTATTTACGAGCTATTTTAATTTTCTCTTGTTCGACTATTTTGTTGTGTTGAGAGAATATTATGCGTTATAATTTATTTAGATATTTTGAATTCAATAAAATTTTGATTCTTGTTATTTCGATTTTTTTTTTATGATGATTTTGAGATAGAAATAAAATAGAAGTCGTACTCTATATTTTTTTTATTTTAAAATATATATTTTTATCAATCTTTAATATATTGTTATTATTTATAATATATTGGTATTATTTAGAATGAAATCGAGTGAATGAAAGAAATTGATACAACTTGGTGGTCGTTAAACGATTATTTTGTGCAAAGGACAATGCTCGGGAAGTTCGCATTCTCTCTCTTCTCGTGGCTTTAGGGCTTCATATTTTAGTGACATGGGTGTAAGGGGTCATTTCCCAACATTCACAAGATATTCCCATTGGTGGAGGGCCTCATGATTTTTTAAGGAATCGGAATGTCTCAATTTGATACAACCTTAACAAAGGTCTTAAAGTGTATCACAACTCGGAATCAGAATGTCTCAACTCGATACGACCTTAAGGTCTTAAAGTATCATGTACCAGTATAAAGGAGAACTTGTTGTAAGTGACAACTAACAACATCAAAAGATGTAAAGTCTATCGTTAAGATAATATGAAAGACAATAAACGGGTGTAGTCTGTTTATAGAGTCTGCCTATGTTCACAAGACCCGAAAGAATGAGACGACAGATTTATGGCATACAAGATTGGGACATGTTAGCTACCATAAGTTGAAAAAAAAAAGCTGATTATGAAGAAATCCCTTAACAAAGGTCAAAGTGTTTCGATTCTTAGATACTTAACGGTTTGAGGTAACATCTTTATTGAACACTTTGAATGTCATATGTCAAATTGTGACCCGGATCTCGCAGATATTTCGATTCTAACGAATGATAATGCTATAGCTTCAATCCGATTAAACAAATAGTTGGAATTCCGAATTCCCAACGTGATACATTCTTGAAGAGCCCGATATTCTTCTTGTTGATCAACGATTATTACAATATCGAGTAACCCCGTCATATATTTAATCCCACCCAGATATGTTTGCAGGTGAGATAATTGTTTGAATGTCATATCCAACATGACAAACATGCTACTATGTCGATACATTATCAATTAAATTTAAGAACAAAATTATTAAAACAAAGGTAAATATTTATGAGATCAAAACTAAAATATAATATTTTGATCAAATCTAAATTGAAGTTCCATATCGGATGGTCTCATTGTATTTTCTGTGATACTATTGGATGAAGCAACCATATAACTAACGATATTGATTTAGTAGCAAGACCCGATACTATTGGATGAAGCAACCATATAACTGACGATATTGATTTAGTAGCGAGACCCCTTACACTAGCTCGGGCATCATCGCTGTCTTAACGCAAACAGCCAAAACAGAGTAGAGATTCAAATGGAGGGATGTGAAGAGAAATTCAGTCAATTTAATTTCTTTTGCTATTTTGAAATTTTTTTTATATGTTTGAAAACTAAATGATTAAAATTATATTTTTTTTATATTTTGAAATTTATAACCATTTTTTATTTTAATTTCCTTTTTTAGTTTAAATGATTCAAGAAGTCTGAAAAGAAGCCCAGAGAGGACAATTTAGTTTAAATGATATTTTTTACAGCATCGTGGCTGGCACCCTTCCTCCAATCGATGAGGGATCGCCCACAAATCCAACCCCCTTTGAGGCCCAACGTCCTTGGCACACCGCCTCATGTCTAATCCCTTCAGAGAACAGCGAGAAGACTGGCACATCGTCCAATGTCTGGCTCTAATGCCATTAGTAACGACCCAGATTCACCGCTAATAGATATTGTTCTCTCTGGGCTCTTTCGGACTTCTTGAAAGGTTTCCACACCCTCATAAATGATACCCTCATAAATGATTTTTTTTTTTTTTTTACAAAAATTAAAATAAACGAACCGTATAAACCAACACATTTTATAGTAATAACTATTATTAAAATAACCAAAAAAATATATTTTATTAATGAATTATTTTTTCAAATAAGAGATCAATGTCTTAAATTCTAGGACTAAATAGCCATGTTTTACACTACCATCATGCCAGGACTATATGGTACTCCAGTGCGCTTGATCCAACTATTACCATGAATAAAGAATGCAGGGGTGAAGTCAAGGGCGTGCTTTGCTGAGATTTGTTTAATTCCCCTCCACTTAACTCGATTCTGCGTTGCTGCACCGGGTCCCCTATTTTCGAACTCTGAGTAAAACAGAGTCTTGAGACCAAAATCGGCTTCCCATGGAAGCCACCCTTCAGGCTGTATCAAGTCGTCGATTTGGCATTGCATGATGATGGTTCTTGAGTATTCCTTCCATGGGCGGCCGAGGTAGGCCTTGCTGATATGGCGAACAGGAAAGTACTCAGGGTCGGAAGAGATGACGCAGTTTTGGAGTATGATACCGGTGGGTTCTTTCCTCTCGGTTCGGCCTTGGGCAGTGACAATGCATTGTTGATTCTCTAATGGCTTCCTCACAATGATCTTACAATTCTGGAACACGACAGCAGCGTTGCCAAAGATAAAGTCGATGGTGCCAGTGATGATGCAATCTCGGTAGAATTGACGATGGGTGTGAGCGTAGAGAGTATCTTGATAGCCATCCATTCTACAATTATAGAAGATGGACATGTCGGATTGAACTCGAAGTGCCACGGCCTGATGTTTTTCAGCCCCAGCCGAATTCTCGAACCATAAGTCTTTTCCAATGAAGTTGACCCCATCCACCGCTGTTAAGAACATGAAAACATGTTATCACTTGGTTGAATTCACAAGAATGTGATCATAAAATAAATGCTAACTTACCAACTGTAGCAGTTTTGAATGTGTTTGTTCCATCCTTGAAATTCTTGCTACCAGTGATCTTGGTCTTATCCATGCCATCTCCAATCATCATGACATAGGTCATGGATTTGTCAACCAATACTTGCTCTTCATAAACTCCTTCCTTAACATAAATAATAAAGGTTTTATTGCTAAACTTCGGGACCGCTTGAAGAGCTTCATTGATTGTCGTATACTTTCCACTTCCATCTTTAGCCACTACCACATCGGCATTAACGTTAGCGCCAGTGGTTTGGAGTAGGCCTCGCCTATCATTGACCCATGATGACTCTTCCTCATCGTACTCGTCTACTCGGAGTTGTCTCCCAAATGATTGAAGCCCCAATGCACGCCACAAAGAGGTCACAATGGCTGTAACCTCACCCACCATCGACAACCCATTGATGGTCATTTCTCTAGACGTCTTCAACAAATTGGTCATCTTTTCCCCGGTATCACCAGGGACATTCTTGAAGCCATCCAAACAAGTTTCTTGATACGTTAATGCGCCACTCAACCAAAGCCTAAGAGTTTCAATATAATTATCGATTCTATTCACAGTAAAACTATCGGTGACTTTATCAAATGACGTTAAAAGATCGTCAACCGCATGATCTATGAGCTCTTCGCACGCATCAACCGCTTGCTTAGCCATTGGGTCAGTAGCTGATTCTTTCAAAGTGGGGGAATCTGCAATGGCCAATTTGAGTTGATCAACGGCATAATGGAATCCTGCCTTGATCAAGTCTCGTGGGTCTTTTGAGTCGCGAGTTGCATTCACCAGAACTTTCTCACAGGTTTCACGATAAGATGTCGGTTGACACAGAGACTTAACCGCTGCGGTGGACATCACATCCCCCGCCGTGCCGCCACCACTAGCATTGTCATTGACATTGTCGGCCGCCACCGCCATGGCGGCTAGAAACAAAGATAACAGCATAAAGGTAGTGATTTTGTTCTTGCATCCACCGCCGTCATATGCCATGTTTAACCTTTTATTTTTCTATTTTTTCCTTTTTTGTTGGCTAATGGGAAATGGGAAATGGGAAGCTGAAGAATTGCTTGTCTTCTGTTCAACAATGGACTGTTTTTATAGTTGAAGATTTTAACTAATTTCCGACATTACCGTTAATATAGTTAAAGTTGGAGAATTCTATACCGGTAATTTTTTTTAAATAAAATTTTGATTTTTCTTTATCTAAATTTAGCTGGTGGGTACTGATTTTTTTTCTAAATTTAGGATTATATTTAATTAATTTTAGCTAATTTTGTGTTCAGATTCTTCGGTGATTACGTTAATTAATTAAATTAAGTCATTTTTAAGTAATCATTAATTATTCAGTAGAAATTAATTAACTCATATAAAATTAATATATTTATAGCTGGCACAATTGTATTTAATTATACTAATATCAATAGCATAAGAACACTACTAATTTTGCTTCAATTTATCTTATGAACTACTCATAGATTGTTCGTATAAAATTTATCGAATTTCGAATTAGATCAATTAAAAAGAACAGTTTTTTTTCAATGGGTTTGAATTGAATTTAAATGAATTCAAGTAGACGAAAGAATTGAATTTTTTTAATATGATAAGTTCGAGGAACAAAAGAAATTGCATATGGTCTCCAAAAGAACAGATTTTGTAATGTGCCCTAAATTTCTAAGCTTTCAATGTCCATTTGAAAGGCACCAACTTTGGGATGGGTCAATTCTTGTAGAGTATCTCCATATTTTCATTGGTGGAGTGTCTCATGATTCTCTTGCTTTATTCCTATCTCCTACACTAAAACGAGCTTCAAATCTAATAATTTGAACTAAACGATATAATAGTTTTGCTTGAAGAGCCTCGACTCGTAAGACACCAACATCAACGAAGACCATCTAACCTAATTTGGAGAAATCGTTATCAGATCGTATTCAACCCGACAAACATATGATAACACAAATTAATGAAAAAACGTAGTTAATTTAGGATAAATATTATTTTTTACTTTTATGTTCATCCTAAGATGACACGTCAGCTAGATCAGATAGGGAGCAAGAATATTAGTACCTATTGACAATTGTTGAAACAGGTATCTAGATATCCTTCCATCTACAAATTTGATGGTGACATGTTAAATGGACGAGTAATTAAATAAACTATGATACATATAATTTACTATAAAAAAAATGTTCTTATACCTATAGTTTCAATAATCTATACCTATTTATACTAATTAAATAAACTAACAAATATTTGCGAAAAAAACATTTTTAATTCCTGAATATGGACAATAATAATAATAAATACAACTAATAATACATTTTTTTAATATAGAAGGAAAAAAAATATTTTAAAATATTTTGAAAAAGAAAACGACCAATGAAAAAGGTACGACAGGCATGTTACGGTGGGTGCGTCACCACCAGGACATTGTAAGCTAAAAAAAAAGGATTATTAGATTTTAAATTAAGATTAATAATAAATGAAGAATAATCCCAATCATTGTGCCGACTAGCAGATGCCAACGCCTTTGATTCCATCACATCACTACCACGTGTAGCTGGCCACGTATCATCATATTTAAACTCTCTCCCTAATCCTACATGGGTCCCACATTCTTCTTTTTCTAATTTTTTTTTTTTAAATTTAACTAATTTAAATTGAAGGTTGGACAACTCACGGGCAGGAAAAGAAAAAAAAGAAGGTGAAGGGTGTGAGGGAATAATGAATAAAGAGGAGGGTGGCTCACAAGGCTGGCATGGTTCTTTGTTCTTCTTCTTCCCCTTGAACAAAGCTACCTCTAATTTCATAGAGCCCGTGGCCTACTTTCTACACTAACCAACAATTTTTGTCACAACTTAGATCGATCTGATCATCATTGATCAGAATAAGAACTAATCCCAGAGGAGGAAAAGTTAGTTCCTCAAATGGGCAATCAGGGATGGGTTGATCAGAATAAGAACTAATATCCAAAAAGCATGGGGGGTAGCAGAATCTACGCAAAATGAAAGAAAGAAGCTAAAATGGCATTAAATCCAAAAGCAATACAGATATCAAACATGAAGAAACATACCATCTATAGATAGAAAGAAAAGACAAACCCATGGGAGTCTATACAACAATTTTTTTTTTTTTTTTTTTTTTGTGGCTATCCTTCTATTTCTTATTTTCAGAACAAGGAATAATAATCATGGGGTAGAGTAGAATACAAATGGTATGAAGGAAGACGATGATGGAGCAAAAAAGGAAGAGAGAATTAAATGAAAATCTGTGAAGAAAATATGAAATAATGGAGAAGGAAAAGAATGGGGGAATTTTGGAGGACTAAATTAGGAGACAAAACAGTCCTGCTTGGGGAAGAGGTTGAAGAAGGGGAATGATCAGGGAGGGATTTTTAGTCTTTTGAGAACTTACAGACGACGGCTGTAGGTGGTCGGTGGTGGTTCAGTGGGAGTGGCCGTACAAGTCATATGGGGTCCAGAGTGAATCAAGAGGGCAGGGATTCTTTGAGTCCAGTCTCATCCATGGCTTTCCACTACCAGACCAGTGAAGAAGGCTCACTGGACCGGCGTGGAGATTCCGGCAACTTCCTTTCACATTGTCGCCGCCGAGGCCGTGCTGGTTCCACCGGTGTTCAATAGGCGCTACATCACCGGCGAAGACCAAAAGAAACGGTGGGAGAGATCCGAGTTCGTAGATCCGATCGTTTTTCTGAATCTCCATCCATCGTTCTATCCTCTTCGTGTAGCTAGCCCGCCGCCACTTAACCAGATCTATAACCATCACGCCGGTGTTGAAGTAACAAGGTTTTCGGCCAAGAAACGTGCCGGAAAACCGCTTATCCAACCAAAACCGAGAGGTGAAGTACTTTGAGAAGTTTGCGTGACAGTATTCCGGAGCTCCGATGGTTCTGGAACCTAAATTAGTTCTCCAAAGCTTCGAGATATCGTCAACAACGACGAGATCGGAGTCCAAATAAATCACTCTCCGAACACAGGACTCCAAAAGCTCTGCCAAGTAGTTTCTCGCGTAATTAAGCGGCTGCTCAAGCGCTTGCCTCACCGACGTCGAAATCAGATTCTGAACAATCGCTGGATTGAAATAATAGACCTTAAATTTCAACTGAGGGAAAGCGGATCTAACAACGGCTTCCAGATTAGTCTCAGAAACAAGGAAATGGAAGAACACGCTCTCCGGGCAGAGCGAATGCTGCAGAATCGAATTCACAGCGGCGACTGAACCGCGGAGGTACTCAACATCAAGCGTAATCGCAACATGAACCAAACTCGGATCGCAAACACCAAATCTACCAGAAAACTTCGAGTCGCTCGAACTGCATTGCTCCGCATTGCGATACGACGGCGACCTACGGAACAGAAACCGAGTGTGCGAATCGGAGAGCGAAAGTGGAACCGACTGCCGGAGATGAAAGTCAAGATGAGAGGATCGAATGGCTTCCGCCGGAGGAAATGATTGAAGAGATGGAGAGAGAATAACCATCAACATAGCGGCAGAGAAGAATCCGGAGAATCTCATAATCCACAACATCTTCACTCCTCGAATCGCTCTTTTCCCCTTCCTCCTCGACTTAAAATCAAACGGATTATTATCCAGATTAGGCGAAATCGAGAAACGGACAAAACCTAGGGTTTCTCTTCTAGAATCAGCCAGAGTTGGAAATGAAAACAGAATCGATGAATCGATCTTCTTGAACATCAAACGGAGAAATGGAATCGAATTTTAAGCCAGTGCATGAGTGAACCAAAGTAGAGAGGAGGATGCCGTGGATACAAACCGGCCTCAGAGAAGAAATAGCCGCAGCAACATTCAGTGGACATGGAAGTAAACAAAATAACAAAGACAAAGAAGAAGACTCACCGGTGGAAGTTCGCCGGTGACAAGAATGTAGAAAAATCCCCTCCCTCTCGCTGCCGTAAAATGCTCTGTTCTTCGTCCTCCTCCTCCTCGATTTTTCAGATTGGTATCGATTCCCGGGAAGAGGAGAAGGCGAAACACAAAACCAGAGCCACAGACAACTCGCAGCTGTACAACAGAAAGAGGAGGAGAGAGAAAGATAGAAAGAGAGGACTTTTTTTTTTTCTTTTCTTTTTTTTATTTCTTTTTTCTTTTCAGCTTTTGGATTTCCACCATAGAAAAGCACAACCAGAAAATACAAATCAATAATTTCTTAAAAAAATAATTTGTTTGATTAAATTATTATAGAGAGGTAAAACAATAAAATAAAATAAATTAAAATTAGATTATTGTCGTTTTTTTTTTTCTAAACTAATAATTAAAAATAAAAATTTACGTGGGACAGAAAAAAGACAGCTGTCGCTGTCAGTTCAGGGACGAGAGGTGGGACCCACTTGGCCAGATGTACTCGTGTACGCATTCTGCACTCCTTAGCCTTTTTATTTTTCTCTTTTCACATCTCTTTAACTAAAAATTAATTATAAATCTTAATTATAATATTAAAGCTAAGATTAAGTGTTACACTATTTATAAAATGAATAAATATTATTAATCTTGAAATAACTTAACTAATAATTAATACAAAAATAATAAATTTACCGGATGTATTTATTATTTGGTCAAAGATTAAATATAAGGACTACTATGGAAAATTAGTACATTCATTAGATGAGTTACTAGTGTTCTGACTACATTTTCATTTAATGAGATTTTTATTCTCAACAAAATTAAATTCTTTTTTATTATTTCAGCATTATTACATTTTGAATATAAAAAAAGTATACCCACAACTTTCAAACCATGTGTGTTCAAAATTGAAGTGAAGTTATATTTTTAGTAAATCTTAAATTTTATTAAATAAGAATAACAATTGATTTTTATGTAAGAAAAAATATAATATATTTTTTAGAGAATTAATACTAAATTTAAAAATTATTGAAAGTAAATTGACTAAAATTGAACAAATGCTATTTTATTAAACTATTATTATTCGATAAATATTTTCACCCAGCTGACCC